AGCAGGAATCTTGGAGCATTACTGAGGATGATACAGGAAGTACAGGTGCTTTGGACAACCGTAAAGACGCATTGGTTGATGCCTTTCAAAAAGTTACAATTGCAGATGAGTATAATAGTGGAAAAGTATTGGAAAAAGAGCAGAATGTGGCTAAACATAAGGGCAATATCTTTGGAAGCCTGTACCCCAAGACACCTCATTATATTGAAGTTCTAGAGTCTAGAGCCAAAAACCCAGTCATGAAAAAAAACAAATTTAAACCAAATGTGTAAGTATTATGGAACCAAAAAACCTCTGGTGAAATGATTGACTTGTATAAAATTGGAAATGGTACAGGACGATCGTGGCGGGTTTATTCTCTTGTGATGATGTCAGAGAGGCAAAGTCACACAGCGTGCGAGGTTATAGGTGGCCTCGTTAGCATGAGGTGCCACAGCATCTCAGTATGGAGCAGCAGTCTGATTCTGCTCCTTTGAAACAGCTGCCATGAATTTCTGCCATGGAGTTTCATAACTTGAGCTACAAAACTGTTGAACAATTGGCAAAAATTTCTTGTGGATCGATTCTAGAACTTGCAGAACTGTAACAGCAGGAAGGCTGCTGCGTGTCCTGCGCCTCTGGAGAAAGTACAACTCGCGCCGTGCTGGTGGCAGCAGCAGTCGATCCTTTGTGTGACTCGCAAGGCATTGCTGTTTCGTTTCACGTTGCTCATGCGTTGGCGTACCTTTGTTGGTCGCTGCCAGGAGGAACCTCAATATTATCTCTCTGCAGAGGAAGCTTTCTAGTTTTTCTGAGCGCTGCTCACTTTTTAATTGTTTATGGTGGTGTAACACTGCGGATTTCTTTTCAGCTCTTACATGTTGAAAATAATGAGTTTTGGAACCGAAGTTGTTCAACCTTGTGCTGCAGATTTGGGTCACAACGTTTATGTTTTATTTCTTCCAGATTACCAGGAGAGCAAAGTGGGTCATCGCATGGTTCCCCATCCAGTCAGTCCAGTGGGGGATTTGGCTCTGCAATTACTGCTGAAGAAAGGCGACTTAGAGATAAAGAACATTTGAATGACATTACCGCAGCTCGGCTGCCACCACTTCACCATTCTCCTGCTAAGCTCTTATCCTTAGAGGAATCCATAAAAATTCAGATACAGCAGAAAGAAGCTTACGAGGTACGAATTTATGATTTAGTCTGAAAAGTAATTATATAATTGGGATCGGTCCTAAAAAAGAAAGCATGAAGAGCTGTTTTCATACCGATTTACTTTGATGATGAAATTGAGGTGGGCAGACATTGAGGAAAGGCACTTTATCTTGTACTTGATTCTTTTAACGATAGGATTAAAGAATGTGTTCATCTCTTCTGCAACTGTTGTTCCTGTGTTAAACAGAATCTAGAATTACTCGTTGTGGGTGGATACACTAACCTCATTGCACTCACTCTGCCTCTGGCTAGAAGTTTAAGTGCGTACCTTGCCGATTAGTCTGAAAAAGGCTCTGGCCCTTACCTAAACGAAGGCTTAGCGGTATTTGTTATTCCTGCAGTATGTGAGTATCTGCATTTGCCTTTATTTAGGCTGTGCCTGAAGGATTAGAGTTCTGAGGTTCTTCAGATTCTGTTGTAATGGAATTTGATTTCGACTTTCCAAGTGGTGCCAAGCGAACGTTCGCATTAGACACTACTATGAAAGCGTTTGTTGCTGCTGTTGTTTTAAAAGCACTTGCTAATTTAGTCATCTCGACCTTTGAGGGAGGTAATTTGGAAAATGGAGCCAGATTCTTTGCGGAGGTTGCTCACTGACGAGTGTGGCTCTTGCTGCGCGGTTACTGTGCACAGCTGCTCTCTTTGGAGGGCTGATGTTGTTCTGTTCCAGCTGGCATTCGTGTATCGCAGGGGAGGACTGCCACGGGGGGGAATTTCAACCCTTACAAAAAGGCCTGCAGATATTAATAGCACAGTTATGTGTAAGTCTGAAAAGAAACCTGGAATTTCTTTACTAGTTAATAAAACTTTTAATTAAGCCTACTCTAATATTATTATGTCAAGTTTAGACTTTAGTATAGTAGTTTTTTCCTGACCAGGATAAAAATGACAAATGAACACTTTTTCTGACGTGTCCTTTTTTCCCTTTTCTTTAATTTTCTTTTATACAGGCAATGCAAGCCAAGCTTGCTGCACAGAAGCTTGCAGAGAGACTGAATATAAAAATGCTCAGGTTTGAACCAGAGGGGGAGGCCTCAATGCAATACAGAGAAGTGACAGATGAAGATTATTTTTCAGCAGATGACTGACTTCAAGAAGAGATGTCTGAGGATGGGCCACGTAACTGACCTTTATGCAGTACTTCTTACAACCCAAACCTGGATATTGAGAATGCTTGATCTAGTCATTTTTTTCTTAGAATTTTAACATTACAGCTATGGGAAGGGTTCGATATAAACCCCATAAATATAAGTGTTATTAAGTGTTATTTGGGGATTGTTTTTTGAGCACTGGGGGCAGTTAATCCACGTGGAATGCCCCATAGTGTTCAGCTACAGCAAAGTGAGCTCTTTAATACGCTGTTGCAGGCCGTGGCGAGTCATCTACAAGAGAAGGTTTCTTCCGCACAGAAATGCGATTGCAAAGGGTGTTGGCACACGTGGCCATAGAGCGAGCTAAGGTGCCCGAGACCTGCTCACGTGTATGAAAGCTCTTGTCTTGTATAAATGTGAGATATTTCTTTTATCTATTTAAGATTATCTTGCTTTTACCGTTAGCTGCCTGGACAGCTACAATAAATGCTTGATAGTTAGGCTGTAGGTTAGCTTCTTATCACATGAGAACTTGGTTCTGTGCCTGCACCTTAAAATAACACTTTATGTCCTTATGTTGTAAATAGGTAAGAATTTCAAGTTATTTTGTAACTCAAATTCTGTTTGAGATTTAAGGGACTCTGCTGTTTCATTTTTGGTTACTACTGCAAAGCACATCCTGAGGTCAAGTTAATCTGAAGAGTTCAATATTTTTATTAAAGTTCTTGGTGTTTTTCCATATTTTTGTACACTGCTTTCATACTTTGGAATACTATTTTTTCATAGTCTGATATTGTAAATTAAGAGATCCACCCTCTGGTTTTCTTGGAGAAAATGTTCTGTGTATTTTGAAGTTTTAGCTGTTATTTGAAGATTAAAAAAAAATTCTTCCTTGCAGTAGTATTTTCTGCTTTTTCATATGAATTTTGAAAGACAAGGAGCACACCTGAGCAGTATTTCGCAATGATGTTCCACTGTTGACTAGGGTATTCCAAGCCTAGTATGAGTTCAGTTCTAAAACACAAACCTCAGAGGTTCCTCGCACAGCCTGGCAACACCCGTGTTCCGAGGCGCTGCAGCAGCAGTGTGTGCGGGGCGGCTGCGTGTGCCGGGCTCTCCTTGTGGACATGTTCTTGCGGGAATGGTGTCTCTGGAAACCAAGGGCGCTCCAGATGTGAGTCATTCAAAAAGCTGCTTGATACCATCTAGAAACGGGGGATGAACGTCTCGGCCACTTCTTGAGTGCCGACAGCACCTCACTAGCAGGCAGTAACGCTCTCCCAAACGCTCCACAAGCTCTCCCAGGCAGCCCCTGGCAATGCAGTTTGACGGGTGGAACTGCTGCCAAGCTAATATGTGGTATTTTTTGACTAAGTCATCTGTTGCTCATCTGTGATACCCCTTTCCTGTACCCTTTCTTACAGGTTTCTTGTTCTCATTGTTCATTGGCTCCTTATCAGCTGCCTGTTCTTCCCTTTTCCTCGAAAGACTTACCTCTGTCACTAAACCGAATTAATATTCTGTATCCCTGCACCACCCGTTCCCTTTCGTATGCCATGCTGCTGCCTGTGTCTGCGTTTAACTTCTGCCACGTGCCATGCACCTTCCTGCTGTCTTCTCTTGCTTTCTGTAACTCCAGCTAAATACCAGCTGGGCACCTGAGCACCTTCTGCGTACCTCAGTTGCTTGAATGTCTCGCAGAGACCTGAATGTCTTTGTGGTTTTGCTGCAGCTGACCTCCTACTGAGGCTTTCCTTTCTTATTGCCTGTTTCGGTTTCAGATGGTCCAAGTGTTTGCCATTTCTAGGCCTTATATCCTCCTTTTTACCACCCTTCCCTGCTGCTTTTTTTCTTTTTTCTGTGCTGCTGCTTCATCCTCCCAGTTTCTCACCGTCACTTGTTTCTATCAGCTCTATTCTTTGGCACATTTTCCGTTACTCTCATTCATCCATCAGCACCCATGCTGATGACCCATCTGACCCTCAGTTGTGTGTGTTTCTGCCTTCAGCATGTGGCTCCTGAGGCCAGGGGAGCACTCTTCTCTTGTGGATGCAGTTCATCTCTCGGGTCAACTCTGTGCTGCCACCTGCTCCTCTAGCTGGGGCTTGTCATCAGTCCTCCCCTTACCTCAGTCTGTCGTGCTGCTTAAGGATGAGAGGCCGCAGCAGTGTATTGTCTGTCCCCTTGCTGTTGCGGGAGTTACTGCTTCCAGGCCTGTTTGCATCCCCCCCCTTTTTAGTATCATCACCCTTGTCCCGGTACTGACTGTCCTGTCACACCTTTTTAGGTTACTGTGTGTGGTTTTTCCATGCTGGCTTTTCTCTGCTAAAGGAATTTACACAAAGCTACATAGTTAAGAATTTGTTTTCTAGATTACTGCAATCTAGCTCAATGTAGGCTTCTGCTGAGCAGTCTCCTTTGCTAACTAAAATCATTCTTTCCTTGCGCTTTTAAGGCTTACTTTTGCTCTCTAAACTTCATGAAGCAGAGGCAGTTTTCTTGATCTGCATTTTGATAGCGTTCAACACGTTGGGGCTTTGCCAGAGTGGATCCCCTGAATGGGCAAACTTCACCCTTAAGGGGAAAACCACCCCAACACCCTGCAGGAACAGGTGAAGGGCGTTATACATTTGTTAGGCAACTTGCAGCTGTGCCGCACAGTGCTGGGGGAGTCCTGAGGGAAGAGAGCGCTGCATGAACACAAACCTAAGCTCAAGGTATCAATTTTAAGTTATTGCTAAAGGGTTTGTATCACTGCGCACCTGGAAGCTTTTGTAGGGGTTTGTTGGTCCTCGGTTCTGAGCACAGGTATGTACTTTGAATTAAGATTTTGTGAGTGATAAGAAAGCAAAGAGTCGGGTATAAAGAGAGTCCTATGTTAAGGAGGATGTGCAATCCCGAAGTTTGTAAAAGGTTAGAAAATAAGAGGATGAATCATGGAATGGTTTAATCATACTGAATTAAGTTTCTGATCAAGTATGATATCACTGTTGTGTATTTCACTGCTCTTCGTTTCCAGAACATTTCAAAATGTACATTGAGAATTGAGGAGCTTCCTTTCTTTTTTGGGAGTCAACTGTTTTATTGGAGTGGGCTGTTAACCCAGCAGAAAGTAAAGAATTGATAATATGTTTCTGAAGTTCTTTGTGTGAATAATGTTTTGTTTTGACCACGTAAAGTTTGCAGTCAAATTCTGGGGACAACTGGTACCTTTTACTTCAGTGCTCCAAAAGGAAAACACTGGAGATGGAGTTAGGAAAGAATTGCTATACTGGGGAAAGAAAACTTTTGGGAATGCAAATAGAAGAGAAAAGATCCGTAAGACCTGAAGCTGGGTGATCATGCAGGTCTGAAAGATGGCACAGAGACAGGGCTGAAATGTGTGCCGCAAGTCTGAGAGCTGTGGCGTGCGGGCAGGTATCTGTGCAGCAGCAGCAGCTGTAGCCCCTCGATTTTTGCATTGTTAGGAGTGCCTGATCCCCAAACTGCACGGAAGAAAAGCACTGTGCTAGAGCTTCTGTTCACAGCTGTAACCTTTTCTGAGGGGAAGAACATGCAATCTGGTTTGCCAGCTGTGGTGATAACGTGATCTAGAGGATTTAGCAGCCTAAAAATTTATGTTAAGTCTTTTGGAAATAACATTTGAAAGAAGAAACATCTACGTGCTGCTGTACTTAATTATTTTGGGGGACTATAAGAGCAACTTGAGGGTGGAAAAGATGCATAAGCTTTTTCTGGATTTTAGAGCTAGCTAGACCTAGCTGAGAGGTCAGCAGTTCTGTTAGCAGTTTTCCATCTGATGGCTTGTGGACTGCTTCTAGGGGCCATTCAGCTGCAAGCTGCTGTGTGGAGGAAATGGGGCCTGCAAATGGAGAGGCTCTGCAAACCATGGCTCTGTGCTGTGGAATTTCTGAACCTGCCACAGGGATGCAGGATCAGGAGTTGGAGAAAAGAATATCCAGATGCTACAGACTGCTGAACTGAAACTTGAGCAGGAAGCCGTGGCAAAAGCTGGACGTGCTCCATGAGCAGCCCCGGGCGGTCGTTTGGGGGTTTGTGTAGGAACTGGCAGACAACTCGCTCCCATGTCGCAGGCAGGCCACAAGCCGGCAGCCTTTAGCAGTCTCTCGGAGGAGGCAGGACCTGAGCTAGCCCGAGCTGTAGGTGATCTGGCTGGCTGGCTGTTTCGTGCAGCCCCATTGCAGAGCCAGGAGGCTTGGCTGTCATCTCAGCTGTGTACCAGGCTGGGGTTTGCCAGGGAAAATGATCTGTAGCGTTCTGAACGTTTTTGGCCTAATTTGGGTGGCATCCGGCTCGTGATCTGTCTTTAGCAAGTTAGTGCCTGCAAGGAGTATCCTGGGGCCAGGTGAATGGCAATGAGTTCTTAGCATTTGATATCAAATGGCTGGCATAAAGGGGACAGCGGATGGGAGCCCTGTGTTGGAAGAAGCTGTGCCCTATGCTGTGGGCTCTGCCGTAGGACGAGGTGGCTTTTCTCTGCTTTGCCAGCCTTGCTGCTTTTCCAGAGCGGTATTACGCAGCAAGCGTAATTTCTCCCAAGTGTCTTGTAAGGACAAATTTTTCAGGGAGTAGGTTTTGCATGGTGTGGTCCTGTTCTGGGGAGGTGCTAACGGAACTGGGTTTTTTTGTGAGTTTGTGGTTTGTGTTTTGTTGCAAGTCCATTGCTTTTAGGGTGGTATGTGTGGAGATTGCCACTGAGATTTCCTGGTTTCCTAATGTTTGTTTTTATGTTGTGAACTCCCACGTTCTGGGAGGGAAAGGGAAGTCGAAAAGACAGCTGTGTGAAAACAACATTTATTTTGCTGTGGTATTTTTTTTCTTTTTCAGTAAGCTAATAATTGTGTGTTGTTCTCATACCTCTGCAATGCTGTGTCACTGCCGACATCGTGGCGAGCAAATGTTATCTAACTGTAGTCCAAACATTTTACACTTACATTGGCTTTCTGTGGGGTAGAAGTGCCTAACTCCACTTGACT